GTTGGTCCTGGTCCCATTTCTGGGACAGCTTTTGGTCCCGCAGTTGGTCCTGGTCCCGTTTCTGGGACAACTTTTGGTCCTGCAGTTGGTCCTGGTCTCGTTTCTGGGACATCTTTTGGTCCCGCAGTTGGTCCTGGTCCCGTTTCTTGGTCCAGTCCTTCCCCTGTGCAGGGCAGTCTTAGCCTTACAGGTGGCAGTGCAATCTCAGGTGAGCATTCACCCGAGCCACCCTTGTCAGCGACCTATGCATATTTGCCGCCGCTACCTGACAATGACAGCCTTGTTGGTCAGTCTACTGCTCCCTCCCTCACGCTCTCGACACCTTCTACATCGCCAGGCTATCATCTAGGGTATGATAATATTTCATCCGGTGCCCCTAGCCCCTTTTTCCTGGACAATCAAGACAAACATGGTCTTCATTCTCCTTTCTACCCTACTTCTGCTCCTGCCGACAACCCCTCCTCCGCTTTGCTCCATGGTGTGGCAACAGAAGATGCTGCTGTGTCCTCCCCACCGTCTCTGCCGGCTGCAGATTTGGAGGTCAGCGTTCCTTCACCTGACCCTCTAGAAGTGGGCCCCACCACAGGGTCAACCTCGTGGTCAACTCTGCACAGCAGCAGGCCGACAAGTTCGCCAACTTCACACCTACATTCTCCCAAATCATTGATACCACCCTCATTTCCATCACAATCAGGCTCACCTGCATCTGCTTATTTCCCCTACCCTGCTGCAAGTGCCTCTGGTGGCCTGCCTTCTCATCCATCACTCGGGGAATCGGCGTCAAGCGAGACAGTGCCTGTGAGTCTTTCTGAGGACAAAAGAGGCCCATCAACGTCCTTCTCGTCCTACGCACCTCATTCCTCGTCCTCTGTACCATCTCCCGCCTTGTCCCCGTGGCACGCATTCATGGGACTCGATTCTGCTTATCCGCCTCACTTGTCACATTCTAGCTCCTCCTCTCCTCAAGCACCCTCTGGGGTGCCACGGGCTTCTGCCGATCTCTCTTCATCTTCGTCTCTGCCTTCTTTGTACTCCTCCTCATTGCTGCCTATGGAGGGAATACCACCTAACAGAGCAACGCTGCCAACTGCAGGTGGTACGGCAATTCCGTTAAGGGCTCCATCTGCGGCTCATGCGGCACCGGGTGCTGCGGTGGCTTTCCCTTACCCATTACCCTCGACTCTGGGACTATCACCTTCAGATCTCCAGTCCTCCTTAAGCCCTTCTGCAGCTAATGCTGACGAAGTCGTACTGGCCCCTCCCTCTCCTTCCCTTTTCGAACAGCCGCAACCACTAACAGATGCATTGGCTGCATCACATCCTTCTCCACCATTTCCGGACCTCGGGGGGCAGCCTGTACCGCCGGTGGGTGGGCCAATGTCAAACTTCTTGAGTTCTCCTGTTGCTTCAGGATCCCTCACGTACTCCGTCGGTCTTTCCCCTGAAAGACCTCAACTGCAGTCCGGTGGTCAACATATACTGCCACCGAGCAAGGACATCCCTCAGGCCAGTCGCGAAAGTCCTCGGAGCTCATTTGGTTATAATGGTCCTT